CAGTGGGACAGGATGATCCTGAGCAATAGTATGAGCACAACTCAGTCAGCGTTGCGCGCATTTGACATCTTAGTTAGTTATATCATCAGCCGACGAAACGGAAATGTCTGCGTTACCCTCGAGCTTGATGTTCGTACCAAATTGACAAAAAACACTCAGTCTTACGGAAAGGTCATCCAGCCTCGTAGTTATAACAGGTAGCTACTGATGTGGTAACAAAACCTCTAATGTGTAAACAACTCGTTAATTGGTGAAAGGCGAGTGTAGTTCAAGGAAAAGAGTTTCACTACTTATGCTGATTTCCTGAGCCATACACGCGCAGAATTAAAGTCACCTACTAAGAGCAAAGAATACTATCGCGGGGCACGTTCCCGGACTACATTTATACGGCGTATGCATTCATCAAACCACAGCCCAGTGAATAACATGGTTGACAGCATCCGGTTGCGGATTTCTCTGTCACTGTGGCCTCCATAGGACAGTCACAGGACGTCTGCACCCACAGAGGGACAATAGGTGGCATGCGCTGCACCACCCACAGCTCCATCCACACACCTAATATCTCGTGTGAACCCGAAGTAATATGGCCGGGGGGCATGCAGATGGGTGACACGTGTCTTCAACGGAGCCGGCCCACACTCCTTCTTTATACACAGCAGCAGCATTCCTGTCTATCTATGTAAGGAAGCACTCGAACCAGACGTACAAAAGACGGTGTCTGGGCCGAAGTCCGCTCCACATAGGATGGAATCAGTCTCTGAACCTAGCATGGCCACGAGGACCGTGTACCCCGTCCCCCAGCAACGATTCACAGTCTCCTGGAGCCAGTAATCGTGGTGGATGGTGCTAGACAGGTAGGCATCATATCAAAATTCACATCAAGCCCAGCCACACCGGAGATATAAAACAACCAACATAGAAGCATATGGAAATTAGGTGTTGCCATCTCGAAAACATCGCACAACCACGACTCGTTTCGATGTCATTTCATCTCATCAGATGGAGACAGCAGGCCTCGAGCCCGAAACCATTAGAATAATATCCGAAACCTCTGCACCTTTGGCTACCGGGTCACGATGGACAAAGCTTGACACAAAGGTTAATGACTGACTGGAGGGCTAATTTGGATTACACTTTGTGTGATTGGATTGCGACGTGCAAATCTCAGAGTGGACCGCGATTCATATTGAAGTGAACCTTGGTCCCTGCGGGTTCGATGTCTGCTATCTCAACCTGATGAGATAAAATGATATTGAAAAGCGTCGTGGTTGTGCAGTGTTTTCGGGCGGGCAACACCTAATTTCCATCTGCTTTGCCTACAGTCCTAGTGATCGCAGTGACCAAGGTTCACTTCAATGTGAATTGCGGTCCACTCTGAGGTTGCGCGTCGCAATCCCATCACGCAACGTGTAATCCAAAAATGGACCTCCAACTAAACGACATAGAATTTAGGGGAAGACAAACAAGCAAAACTGCGATAGAATACGCAGCAGAGTAATACAAGTGAAAAAATCTAAATAAATAGGAATGTCTTTTATTCAGGCTAATAAGACCAACCTTAAGTGTAATTCGGTTTAGTCCAACTGCGGTGACGAAGCATCAAATGTGTACCATCCACCTCGTCATGAGACACAATTGAATAACATTGCCAGCAACTACCGCAAGTAATGATGTCCGCCTGCACATCTATTGGCCATGCGAGAGGATTAACCAAATGTTACACGATGGTCTTTGCCAAATACTGAAACAGTTTCTTTCAGGTTGAAAAATAAGCTGCTGCTCATTTCGGGACCAAGTAACTATGTGTCAATACATTACTACTTCAATAAGAAACTATGTTAACAGCCCTTCCAAGTAGATCTGCTGCCATGAGCACAAAGCGCGCATCTTAGACCGATACAAATTGTCCTACATACAAGTCCTGTCAAGAAAACCGAACTTAAGTCGTTGTTACTGCGGAATGACGTGTTTTCACTATGTTTGGACTCCGCGTCAGTGATCGGGATGGCAGAAGCTGACTTCAAAGTCAATTGATGCCACAATAAACCTGCATTTCTTTAAGGAAAGTTTCGTTGCCCAGCCATGATTATCACTGTATCCTGTGGTTGTCCGGCAAACTTGTTATTCCATCCTAGGAATAATAAAGGATCAGCATCGCGGAACGTTTTGCCGTACTGAGTCATCGTCAAAAATATGTCTTTTATATAAGAGTGGTTGCGTAAATATATTTGCATATAATACATATCTATACTTGCATACATACCTATATATACATATTTATGCTTAACACAGCACCTGCCTTACGGTATGCTTATAAACCAGTAAACTGACATCTCCAGATGTCATGGATGTGATCTGAGAGATCGTCTCTACGACTAATTCATATACACACTGCGGGATATCATTGTGGTTCACAAAATGCTTGCATTTCTGCCATCTAAACAAACAAGACACTTTTGGTTTCCACATAACAGTGTGTTTCTCTGGGTCTCCCAGACACCCGTGTCCCACATATACACTATACCAGTCACAGTAAAATCAATGATATCGCACAAACAATCCGAGCATTCAGAGACAGCACATTGCAAATTAGCTAGACGAAGATTTTTCACAGCTGTAACTGATGCTTTATTCAAGTGTTTTCGGTTTCTATTGGAGTAAACACCCCAAGCGTTACCTAGGTGTTTACCTCACCAAGGCTACCCAGCCGAAACAGCCTATTTATAGGCATACAGACTTTCCAGCACTGATGAGACTAATTCGGATGAAAAAATAATGATATTAAGAGTGCAAAGTGGATGCTCATGTGGAAGAGCCTAATTCTCAATAAAAGTTGATATAACTTGACCTAAGCATTTGCATCTCGAATCTATTTTAGGTAACAAAGACAAACATGATCTACGAAGACTCCTGAAGCAAACTATTGGTTATTCAGTCGAATCTGTCTAAGGCGACCACTCAATGGACGGACAAAATATGGTCGCCTTGGACAGCTGGTCGCCATGGCCAGGTTCATGCATAGAGACATTACTCATAGGAGAAAATGTTATATACTTTTTGACTGGTCGTCATAGACAGGTGTTCGCCATAGACAGGTGGTCACCAAGGCGTGCTGGACTGCAGTACCTGAGGTTGGTGCAATGTGGGACACACAGACACACGCAGTGCAGAATTCAGTTCCGTGTTGTAAAACGCCTTTTCCCGCCTTCCTTTAATCCTCTCACTCACAACTACCAAATTTCATCATGGTGGAATCTACAAGGGGCTAAATAAACTGAATCCGAACAGCACTTTTGGTCAGAAAGTTTTGTAGGAGTATGGAAATTCCTTCATGTCTTCTTGGTTAAGCATTTATCACTAGAACTGGTACAGTCCTCCACCTTTAACAGGAAATGCAAACAAGTTCATTGTTCTCAAAGGTGTCCTGAAAGTTTCTTCAGATTATATGGGCGTTTGTGCGGCTGAAAGTCTCCCATGGCTTTCCGCAATCAATCATGGTAACAATGCCATTCACTTTATCGGTACATCTTGGTGTTCTACACTAGATACCGTACTGTGTCTGATGCGATGAATAACACCCGCATTGGACCGAAGTATGTGTGCTCGTAAGGTTCATATTCCTTAGTTGTTCAAACACTGTTTCAATCCTCAATACCTCAGTGCCACCCGATTTCATTCACCCTGTTTCATTCTTGCCTCAATCGTAGTCGCTTTATCGCCAGACGATAAAAGCTCTGACATGTATAATGCCGACTGTAGTGTTCTGTCGAGTGAAATCTTGTCTATTTTACATATTCAACATACAATGAACGACTGGCTATGCCATGCCATTTGTCTGTTGGATGTAACTACCGCGACGGTGTTAACTACAGTTTGCGGGTCTCAGCAATGCAGTGACTTAGGCACCTCATCGTGTGTTATCCTATTTATCTACTTGGTCATCATCAAAACACCTTATGTGTGGCTTCTAGAAATTTAATAATGTGACCCTTCTACACTGATCAGTCTTAGCATACTTACCATCTCAACCTAGGATTTTTAGCAACGAATTCAAGCACATACTTACACACGTCTCAGCAACTGTCATGTATTTAGGTATCATTTTTCGTTAAATACATCTGGTTTTACATATGCTAACGATGCGTTTCACAACACGTAAAAGTCATCTTCTTATGCATTCAAACACAAAATGCTTCTAGTGCGATATGGTGTAAACTTTAGCCTCCTGAGCACATACATTCTTCCTCATCAACTATCCTGCTTTCTAGTCAGTTTCCATGATTCCAGTCAAGTAAACTATACTGTAGTGCTGAGGCGATGAAATAAGGTTTAGACGCGGCATATAAGATAAAACTTTACTTCCTAATTTTAGTACTAGCGCACAGTGCGATACGTATTGTTTTCTTTACAGTTTCCTAACGGACCATTCTTTTGTAATAAAGGTGGTTTCGTTTCTTCTGTGGGCTCATAATTCAAAGCTTCATGTTCTCGAAATCAGTCGTATCGCCATCCTATTTTACTAGTATGCGCCATTCGCGCGGACATAACCACTTGGCCTGAGTAACGATTGCGCAACTGTGCGAGTATGTTTTCTAATATTGATTGGTGTTCTATCTTAACACAGCTGCTGTACCGAAAACGCACCCATTCGGCCTTGCAAGGCCAATTTTGGTTTGGCTTGAAGCGATTTCGGCTTATATGAAACGAACCGAGGTTTCGACAGCTAAATTGATCGTCTCGCAACCACACTAATGGCGGTAGCACCATTACTACGAAGAACGTTTCGAAAGCCTTGCATTGCTTGGTCTATATCACTCACTCTACCTGGTTTCTGATTTGCATCCCCGCCTCGCTAACTTCGGGGAAATCAATCATGCAACAACTGCGAACTACGATCAGTTTCATTACGGTGGACCGTCTCAAGCTGGCCAGTCACATGACACTGAATCTCCAAGCAGCTTGGCTGTTGACCCGTCATGATCCACACTGGTTTGTTTGGGTCAAACAGATTTCTGTTTGCGCTAACAGTGGAGTTCGAAATACATAGGCATCGGGATGTCGCCTATTGATAGTGGAACCTAGAGGACAGACAAGCACAATAAAAGCTCTCAATCTCCTTTCATGGGAATTACACTCCCCAGTCTCCTTGGGAGAAGCGCTTTCCCTGCGTTCACGCTTCTTATGCCCAGATAACCATCACCTTGGATGCAATGGGTAAACTTCTGTCATGTTGATTTCCGATTGTTACTGTCTTTCTCCACCGTAAAAGTGTTGGTTCAGCCGACTATATGTCAAATGTTGCGCTTCGGCTTCTCTCTCGAAATTGTTTTATCTCCAATCGTGAATGGTGATGTACTCATTTAAAGTCTGAGTGCAGATGGACAAGTCCGAGTTGCCATGATTTAGTATTCCCCACCGTCAAGGTTCGTGTTATTGAAATCAACCGTCATTCATGTGGCAGACTGGTTTACCTGAAACACACTTCCCACAGGTCTTTGGAGTGTCACGGTTACTATCTACGAAATACTGCAACACGTGACACCTTGCGATTTGTTCAAATCTATCCACTACTACGTCAAGATCAGTAGGAAAACCTACCGAATTTTGTAATATTTCATACTACTTAAACGTCCGGAAGCATTATGCAACATTATCTCAAGCCCACGATTTCAGATTAGCTTCAAAGCTTTTGGGATTTACATATATCTCCTGATACGCCACCCGTTCGTCTGATTGGTGTTTTATTTCATTTTGCTGATTGCAACTATCCGGAATTCCAAAAACTGAAAAATCTTTAGTCGATATCCAATTTTAAATAGTCATGGTGTAGGTTGAACCCAGAAAATTGAGCGCAGACACGATACAAAACTTTACTATTTAGTGGGCCATCAATAAGTAGACTAAGAAAGGTTGAAAAGACAGTGATTACAGTGGAGGCTTCGGCTTTCATGTTATCACGTTTGCCCACGTCAAATGAAACCACCCGCTATCAGGCAATAGTGATAAGGGCCTGTATCAAATAACTTGCTTTATTTGACCGGTTGTCCGCTACTGGTCTAACAGTGCACTCGATTTCAATAGTTCATTTGATGTCCACTTGTAATTCAAAATAAGGCCACAATTACATCCTTGCTGTCTGACCCGCAGTCGTATTTTGTTCATGATGCCTGGCTACTGTGATCCTACGCTACACACTGCTGAAAAGTTCTGCGCTTGATTCGCACTCACATTCCCGATACGGTAAAGATTTTGGACCAACCTTGAGACTGTATTGAGCAGGGGCCGAACTCACGGCGATCTTCGCTTGGTCAGTCGCGTGGCTCACACGGTTGCGCATTCCTGATTGGCTGATTCGATCCTCGTGATGGTCTGTGCAGTGATTGGTCAAAGGCCAATGTATAGATTCGATGTTGACCACGGTCGACACTGGGCACGCTCGTGTTTTGTGGGCTTCTTGCTTTCTGAGCTATCGCCTTGAGATGAATGAGTATCATTCCCAAACTCCACCACGAGTTCCACCGCATGCAAATCCTAGGCCTGGAATTTTCAGACTCCGTAGGACTACCATACAATCTGTGCCCAGAGTACCCACAATCCCTACCCACGTCTTCAATACCGCCACGAGCCAAAGTTCAGCCCAGAAACAGGAAGCCACATTTACAACGGAAGACAAGAAAGTGCTACCCTTGCAACGACTGGTCAAGCGATTTAGTGTGCGACCATCGCCAAAGGTAACCGAGTCAATCGAGCCGAAACGACGGGTGTCCATGTTAAACCATTGGCGGAGGCGAAGGTCATCGGTGTTGCACAACAGAGATCGATCACCCCTGCAACAGACGAATAGTCCACAAACACCCGTGCGCAAGGAAACTAAGATGAGGGAGGAATGTGCCGGTCCACCAGAAGCGGGTTGGTTAAAACTTACCTTTCGTGACCTCAGAAGAAGATCCAATTTACTTTCACAGTTGCCGAAAACGTAAGTATGGCTTTTCTTATCCTTGTTTAAGCTGAACTTATGCATTATTAACCAAGTATGATGAACCATAATTTGTGATATGTAATTAGCTGATATTTTCCGACACAGCAGCCCGACTCCAGCAGTGAACAAACTTTTGATCAACATTTTACCACGTGCACGCCCGAATTCATATCTCATGGGGACAGAGACTTTCTAAATGTTGTGCTGAGCGTTACACGCATCCAGCCGGTGTGGTATTGAAGATGTTTACCGACGACGTTCGGGTGGCGGGTTCGTTTGGCTGAAGAATGTAAGTGAGCCCAGTTCGTATGCAATGCAGCGTAGGGGGGTGGTTGGACATGCTTATCTGTCAGTTACAGTCCCAATGATGGAACGAACAGTTTTAAAATTAAATGCTGGTCCAAGTCCATATGAAATGTCACATTCGCAAGAAGGGCTTGCGAATCACATCAGAATTGATTCTCCAAGTGCGGGGATCTTCGATAGTGGAAGTTGGTGGACTAGTTTAAGTTATTTTCCGATTAGTACGTCTTCCAAGCATTCGCGACACTCGTCGTGGAGTGAAAAATACTAGGTCGTCAACAACTGACATGGCCGCATCAAAGACGTCCCCAGCTTGTCGAATAACAATTAGTTTTTATGCTAACTTTTAGATAGCCAGCAATGCGTTTGGAATGCGTGATACGGTCACTGTTAGGACAGGTCATTCCAACCACTGGGCTGCAATCGAAAAGAGTAGTTTCTGGTGCTCGTCTCCTCAAACAATGAACCGCACTCCCCAAGACCAGTTTCGTTTTCCTTTGGACGCATTAGGCATAGATGGCCGGATTGGAACACGGTACGTAATGGCTGGCAGCTGACAGCGCTGAGTTTAGTTCAGAGCGAATAGCGACCCATGTTTTGCAAGCATATCACAATGCATTGGGTATTCTAGTTCGAATTCCTTCATTTATGATAGATTTCCTATTGTTATTGAAGCGCCGGTAACTGTTGAAGGGTTTATGAACTCAAACTTTCATATCACACGGTAAATCAAGCCTATCGTGTTACCCGGTAGCTTAGGCTTAATTTCCCTAAAGAAGTCGACCGCTGCTGCAGTTTCGACTCATACGTTTTCCTGAGTTAATTTTGTGCCTGACCGGGGTGTTCCGTTCACAGTGCCTATCCCCATAGTGCCCCTGTTAGTGTCTGGACCTAAACGTAGCGAAAACGTTACTCTGAACGCCGTCGTAAATTATCCTCCTGTCACCGCGTAATTTCCCCTCGTTTTGCAGCGTGTGTCTTGAAGCGCGTCCACATGCCCATGCGTCAAAGTTCACGCGTGCCTGCTCAGAAGGGCGCACGTGTTCCAGATCTCGGGTGATCCGACAAGACCTCAATGATGTGCCCACTCTGTGTGTATGAGTGTCAGTGCATGGGAGTGTGTGTGTGTGTACTCAGAACTGATGAGCACGCTCCGTTCACATTTATGAGAACATTTGATCTAAGCAGATGGTCTCCGTTTGAGCACTTGGAGAGGATGGTACACGTGCTCCAGCCCGCTGAGATGGGAAATGAAAATTAATAAAGTGTGGTGTGTGTATGCGCTGAATTGGGGTGGTGGTTGTGAGTCATGGGAATGAACGATGGCAATAAGTCCCCACGTGGGCCCACATACGGGCTGACGGGGGGTGGTGAGGCACTGGGTGAACTCTTCCCCCATCGTCGTCGTCCACTGTCGTCCACATTGTCATGCAGTCGGTGAACGCACTGGACCGCTGTGTCTGAACCATATGGAACGGAACGCGCTCAAGCTGCTGACCTCAAAGTCGGAATATCGATCATGAGAGCCCAAGACAAAGAGATTCAGACACAACGGGATGAGGGGCGGACCACAAGGCAGTAAAGTTAACGATAGTAGGGGCTGTATGGATTTGCTGGCCTATTCATACTTCCTGTTTCTTAGTAAACCCATTTGAATCAAGTCCCCTTTTTTACTTCCCTCCGCAGATCTGGAGTGATAAAATCACCTAACAAACCGCGTCCCTTTGATGATCGCTGTTGTCAACGCTCAAGTGAGATGGGGCTAGAAAGAGGGGAATTCACTTCACCTGACAGTGCGCAAACCAAAAGTAGTCCATGCTTTTTAAGGGACTCAACTCCAATCCTGCACCGACAAACCAGGACTTCAAGCTTGCCCTGTGTAGAGAGTCCAGAGATACGGTCCTCGTTGCTCAGTTATCATCCAACCGATGAGGTCTCAATCTCGGAGTCGGAATCTCTATCGCTGAGGCAGTGTGCAATATCGCAGACAGATAGTCTGAATTCATCCTGCTCGGCTTCAACTCTGAATATGCCGGTACCCGAAGTGGTTGAGAAGATTAGACTTTTTGCGTCAGCCAATACGAGGGACTTATGCGCTAGTAAACCGGTCGGACAAGACTCCGGATGGTCCTCTGAGTTGAGCTCGCTATCACACCCAACGGATCCCGATAGGTCTGAGGAACTGACGGACAAGCACGAGGAGGCAGACTCTGATTCCTGTAGTCTTGCTGAATCTTGCGCCACCGGAGAGATTCGTGTCGTATGGGCCAACAGACTGCGGAAATCTCTAGATCGAGCACAAAGGAGTTGCCGCATGTCCGTGGGTCAAACACTTTTCAACCGGTAAGTGTCGTTTACCTTGCATATAATCAAATGTATACGATTGGTAATTTCGAGCGAGTCTCATCTGAGGCACAGGCGTGTGACTGGTCACAGTTGAGTTCTAGTGCCGGTCTGTCTTGCTCGGATTGGTCCAACAGTGTGATCAATTGTCAGGGTCAACACGCGGCTTACATGCTCCCAAAGTTAACCGAACGGAGTTCAGTATTTGTCAGCATGCGTACCATAGCCTATTTTTATCCTAGAGGGAACGCCATACTTCTGAGGTGTTTGAAGATGTTGAAACGGGTCCGCCTTCCTTACCACTGGTTCGGAGCGAACTAGGAAATAACCAGCAAAATGCACAAACTTCTGCATCACATTACACCGCAGCCTGAAATAAGGACAGCTCTATCTGCGGCCAAGCGCCACAGGTGGCCTTAACTATTTGAAGTGTCAATAATGAACTTTTCCTTTTTGTCTCACTGTTTCCAAGTTGTTGATGCAGTCCATGTGTCTACTTCAGAGGTCTGCTTCTCATTTCACATTGAACTGAAATTCACTGGGTCATTATACCTTCGAGTTGCCCCTTTTATTATGCGATAAAAGGAAAATAATCTATGTCCCTGCATCTTTGCTTGTAGTGATCCTGTCGAAGGTGTTCGGTACTTTCTTGACCACAGTTTGGTCCCACCAGTACCAATTGCTATCGCTCGCTTACTTATGAAACAAACCGGACTGAGTCGACAAGCGATTGGGGATTATTTTGGTTCACTCGGCGATCCCATGTCGACAAAAGTGCTCAGGTGAGCTTGCAATGGGAAAATGTATAGATACGTGTTGTATACGTCTGTACTGTAATGGGTTTTCATAATATGTATGTGTTGCTGTTTATTTGCAGAGAATTTCTATCACTGATCGACATGAAGGGTCGTGAGGTGGACGAATCTATCCGTTCAATGTTAAATCACTTCCATCCAGCGGTGAGTCATCGGTCTAACTGCATTTTGGCAAAATAGAAACTAACTAGCCACAGGACGGTTTTCTGGAGGGGGGAGGGGGAATAACAATGTGTAGACCACTAATCTTTTCACTTCCCCACGCTGCTCTGATCCATACAGGACAGCAATCTTTTCATACTTGTTTATAATGGCCAGAGTAACTGACAGTAAGCAGCCGAAGGTGCTATCTCAGAACTAACCTCGTCATAACATGTTGCGGAATGGGCTTCATGGTGGAAAATCCAAACGCCACCGGTGTTCCTCATTTTTCTGGGAGCCATGACTACCGTACTGCAAGTTTATAACTTAGGTTTGGAATCTTTCACATACTAGGAAAACTGCGTACTATTACGCAACGAGAAAAATGGATTCCTTATTCGGTTGTCTTCTAGAGGTTTGGTTCAAATAGATTTTGACTAACAGTAGTATGCTCCGTTTTAACTTCTTAAATCAATCTATCAATATACGGCAAGCTCTACCTACCGCCCGACTTGCTTAACCTAGTCAGTCTAATCCATAACAGTTAATTGATTCATGAGGCAGACATCCATCGACACTTCGGATCCATTGCAGGCATCCATGCCACCAATAGTGCCGTCACAGTATGTGGTGCAGTTCTGTCTGGTTGACCTGCGACGCAATGCCACGGCGCTGATTGGGACATCGACGCAATCAGCGTTTATTGCAAAATATGCTATCCAATTCTGTTCTGTACCTTTGTTTCCTCGCTAGTTTCCTCATGAGAAATGTCTACACCTTTTCTATTTTCATCTCAGGGTGAGTCTCAAAAAATTAGCCACTTGGTACAAATCTTTCAAGAAGTCTACACCGCCCAAAATCCCGAACTGGTCTCTACCACCTTTCGAAGTAAAGACACCATCGAAGTGCTCGCCTACTCTATCCTAATGCTTCACACCGATTTACATAATCCCAATCTGAGGCGTCTCGGCCAGAGAATGACCGAATCAGAATTCATCAACAACAATCGGGGTATAGATTGCGGAGCAGATCTACCTGTGGATTTGCTACGACGCATTTACCGGCGTGTGTCCTCATGTGAATTTAAAACCCTTCCGGATCCGGTGGAACGGCTACGACGGCTGGACACAATCCTGGTTGGGCCGCTAAAAACCGAAAATTTTATCCAACGGCATCGAAGGTTCGTTGGTTGGGTTACTGGTCGCCAGTTGAACCGCATCTCCACGCGACATTCAGGTCATCACAATCACTGGCGATACCTCCTCGTATTCAACGACATTCTCGTATTAGCCAAACCTATGCTTGGAGCACTGCTGGGTACCTCCGGATCCTTGTGGAACATGGCCGCAGCTGCTGCTGTAGGCGCGGACGCCGCAACCGCATGTATACTAAACAACTCGAAACAAAACCAGTATTTTTCCGACGAACCTATGACTATTGGAGCGTATCAAGTGCGCTCAGTACTGCCCCTGAAGGACGCCAAGGTTTTGGTCTTTGAAACTCAGTGTAAGTGCCAACGCCTTCGTACTTAGTTAATGCACGATTTATCGATCTTTTTCCATTGTGTTGTACTTGGTGACCTCAAACCGTCATCACGGTTGCCTCATTAAATGCTTCGTTTAGTCCATTGCACACACGATCACATACATAAGTTCAAATTCCGAGGACGAGAGAAATTGGTCCACTTTCACCGTCCGAACAAACACGTGGGTATTGTGTGTGTGTGTGTGTGTGTGTGAGTGTGTGTGTGCATACATGTGCACGCACCCTTTTGCGCGTAGAAATTTCTAGTCCGTTATCATATATGGATCATTCGCTGCCTCATGCCGGCTGCAGCGCCATCCTGGTGATTGCCTTGAATTAGCTAGAAAGTATTCGATGATGGAGTGGGCGTTGCATTTGCAAACAGAGGTGTTTTGACTTGCGTTCACAGCGAAGTTTCACCTGCAATTACGGCAGTATGCTGTCAGCAGGTGATTGGTGCGTTGGAACATCCACCGCCTTTGAGGTTTGAACGCATGTACACAACATCCCACACTAATTGGTTTTCTCTCGCCCCTCCGCATCACTGAATATGCTGGAAAGCGATCGAGAAGTTCTTATCAGTGAATTATTACCAGTAAATTTATCATCTATTTGGGCTTCGTTTCAGCCTACCGTTACGGCCTACGTCTTTGCAATCAGCAGAGTCCGTTGCTCAACTTTGTCCTTCCATCTGCGCAAAGCCGGCAGAAGCTAATCGATTGGATCCACGCTTCCATTGCTGAGCTACACGAGCTGCAACTCTATCGACGACAAAGTGATGAGCGAAAGGCCAACAGTACCCTTATGCGTAGTCAAACTACTGTCCTGTCTTGTGCTACGGACAACCCCAGTGAAGGTTTCGACAGTGGAAAATAACCACCGTCTCCAACCATCAAATCCACCATGTATCTACTTACACACACAGAGTCTGCCTATATTGCCTTTATGACTCCCGCTCTACTTCATTCTGTGATATTGGCACCAGATTGCTATTCAGACGCTCTACAATCTGCTTTTCGGTATGTTTTCTTCCTTCTGTTGCATCTGTGTATAAAACAAATTCCAGATTTTGCCCCCATTCCTCTGTCCCCAAACATCCAGTCACCTATATAGAATACTTTACTCTCTGTTCCTCCCTCCGCTCACTCTTCTGTCCGACGTGGTCTCCTTTCATGTTCCACATTGAGGTGTGGTGCTCTGCAGGCGCATACCCACGCGACAATTTGGAACAATTGGGCCCTAGGGGCAGTGTAGACTTTCTAATTCCCCCCGTCCCCCCGGGGTAAATCAGGGGTCAACCAGAATGCATTCACATAAATCATTTGCGTAATCCTATAATTACTGATTAGCATTTAGGCTTTGCTACATGGAGTGGAATACATGCGTAACGGTAGGAGGAGTCCCGAATGACGAGTTGTCTGGCGTAGGTGACGAATGGCGTTGCGGACCGTGTTCGGTGATGAGGTGAGAATAAAAGCACCCGATGGTTGTTTGATAAGGCGTTGGAGAAAAGGCAACAGCTCATAAAATGACCGGGTACATAAAATAATTCGCTGTTTTACAGCATTTGTTGTTATCTTTGGTCTCGTTGTTGAGAAAATGCCAGTTATGAACAGTTGTCAGTGTCGGATTTCGGTTAACAACCGGCCTTTGTGGCGTATAGGGATACTTAGTTGTTGCGAAAAACACCGTTTCGGAAAAACGATACTTTCCTTTTGAAGCACTCTGAATTATTGGACACCATCGAACGGATCAGTTTCGGTTAGGCGCAATTTTGCTATACTGTTGAGTCATTCAGTTTGACCTCTGGTGGGCCAGAACCATATGAAATAGAATTACTGGCCTGCCTGTGGGCCACTTGACACGAAAGTTCCCCGAGTGACGCATTCAGGCCACATCGATCGAAAAACCCTTAACCATGGGGTCAACTTGGGGATGCATTTGCCGGTACTCAGAAAGTGAGAGCACTGTTAAGCTATTTGTAAGCACGGCTATGGTTGCGAATTTTGGCAGAGGACAACTCAAAGCGATTTGTGCGCTCTTCGCCCTCAATCGGCCTCCAAAGGTGAAGTCTAACTTAATCATAATACGATTTCGA